AATGTATAATTTGTGTTTGTATAAAGCGAGAGAGAGATTTGATATACAAATACAAATATTTTAACTCGGCTCAATTGTATATAAAATCGATTCAATTGTATACAAATTCAAAATTTATGCAGATATAGAAACACAATAATTGATACATATACATAGTAATTACATATATACAATTATCTAACCGATATACATATACAATTCACCTCCTCCCCACTCTCTGCCCTCTCTCACTCGCCTCTCTTCTCTCTCTCCTAATCTCGCTCGCCACTCTAGTCTAACACAAAAAACGTATACATATACAAACACAGTTTTCATAGACACAAACACCTGATTTATACAAATCGCTTATCTTCTTTAATTGTTTTTTTTTTCATGTTGATTATTTGTATTAAATGTTTAAATTTATTTATTCTATCGCTTAGCTTTAATTAAACTTAATGAATAAAGAGACCTTAATTGCTACTTGTGTAACCCCCATATAAAATATATGAGATACGGTCAGGACCTACATTTGTGAACTTTGAGGGGTTCTTAACACATACTCTTTGAGGTAATTTGGACCATTATCCGAATCATAATTTTGTAGACCTTTTAGTTAAATTAGTTAGATTAGAATGGTGCCCTAACGTGCCTTTAATTTGTTAGGTGGCGACTGTTCTTTTAAAACCCAACCTAAAAGAGTTGTCACGTCGTTGCATAATCCGTTTTGAGAAAAAATGGGGCGCGACATATATCCTGGAGGGGGCAAGTCAAGAGTGATACTGCTGGATTGGTGTAGATTATGCCGCAGTGGACTTGAATCTCCTTAAAGAGAGCGATATTATGCACCTCAGCCTCAATATTTGTTTATTCATTTTTGTCATTTTATTTTCAACGATAATATTTTATATCTATGGTATATTACACCAACAATGGGTATAACAAAACTTTTTCCCATAAAACAAATTCAAAAGAACAAAAGGACAATGGTACAAAAAAATGTTGATAGTTGATAGAAAAGTTGTGGATATAAAAATGAGCACATGTAAAAATGCACTTCAATAATGTGAGGTGGGCAAAAATACAACCAATAGCTTAAAACTATTTGAAAATATTTCTGTAAAAAAAATCTTTGATTAGAATTTTGTTTCAACGCTTCCTTTAGCTTTTAAATTAATCTAACACTTTTAAATAACTTAATATAAATATTTTTAGTATAATCACTATGTTATAATTATCATCCGAATATTCAAAATGGGAGGGGTGTTACTGTTTTTGTTGGTGAGCTTTAAAGAGACCAAAAATTTATTTTTTATTTTTGTCATCTTCTTTTAACACTTTTGTAAGCTTTCATAAATATTCTATTGGGTATGGTTTCTATCCTTAAAACTATGAGTAGCTAAGTTTTATATCTAGGTTATGGGATCATTGTGTTAGTAATGTGATTAGATATATACATAAAAACTCCGTTTTCTTGCCATTGATGTCGTCTATTGTATGTCCGAATTTGAATAATTATATTTAATGATTGCAAACATTAAATTTGGTTATTTGTCTTAATTAGAAATTAGATTAGGAATATAGTACTTTGTCCATCCCATTGATGGTTATACTTAAAAGAGTTTTTTCATATTAGTTGACCAGCTTATTGAATGAAGAAAATATTAATAATTTTTTTTCTATATTACTATTGCAATTAATTCTTTTTTAAAGTGTTTACATTTATTTATAAAATTTCCAAGATATTTTTAAGGGTTGAATAAGTAAAACTATTTTTTCTTGTTAACACACTAAATCGAAGCAGGAAATTAATGAACGATGAGAGAGGAAGACGAAATAAAAGAGAGACAAATCTCTCGATACATTGATCAGAAAATATCTCATATGTCTCAACCGCCTCATACAGAAGATGGGCCCAACTATTTATACTAAACTAGTCCAAGTTTTACTAAACAAAATATAACAATGTAATTACAATTACGATTATAACAAAAATATTAAATCGTCTAATAATTCAAGAAAAAGATAAGAGATCAGTTAGCTTGAGGTTTTATTGATTATGTTTATACTCATTCTCTAGGGCTTGAGAGAGTCTGAAATTAATTAATTTGGTTGAGGGACTTTTAATTAAGCTAAGAATTCATTATTTAGCTATTTTGTCATGGCATTACCCAACATTACCTTCATTATGTGAGCACAACCCTAGTTACCTTTACCATTTTATTTTAACATTAAATGAATGTCACTTTATGCAAGTCAATATCGTGGATATAATTAAATCTCAAATTATTACCTCTTTTTCCTAGAAATTAAGACTGGAGTTATTTATTTTACCTCATATTTAGGATTGGATGGAATTTTATAGTACTTGATATAACAATAACAAGTATGAGATGAATATACATAACAATATATCCTTGGACTCAAACATAACATAACAATCCAAAAAGATGACTTAAACTTTATTATTGCCACGTAGTCATGATACACATAGCTAGTAGCTAGAAGATATTACATTACAATAATAATAATAAAAGGGAGATTTGAGGATGATTAATCGAGCTTCTTGAAGTAAACAGAAAATGGCAATTCATTGCCTGAGGCAGCCAAACGTCTAACTTCAACATTTTCACGTTCCTCATAAGAAATGAACAAGTCAAAGCACTTAATTTTGCAAGGAACACATAGTGAAGGACAGTAGACAAATCTATAGTCCTTTCCATATGGCACAATCCTGAACCAATTCCTTATGCGATTCAAAGCCCCTAGAGTCCCTCTACCTACCACATATTTATATTTCTTATCCATCTTCCACACTGTAAAATTAGCACAACGTGATGTCTCATAAGGGGAAAAAAAGTTAACATTTATGGGGTTGTTAACTTTAATGAATTCACCAGTTTTCTCAGGGTATGCTGGAAAGAACTCTACAGGACGTCCACTGTTAAGTTCCTTAGGGACTTGGACAATGTCTTGTGGACAAACTTTCACATCTTTGTCAACAACTCTAGACAAAATAAGACCACCTCCACTACCCCTTAAAGATGGTAACACAAAGTATTTTGCACCTGCTTTCACTGGATTTCCATCAATGTCAACTACTGATGCATATGTTTTACCATTAGGAACTACTTCTTCTTCAGAAGGAAGGAGGAGATCTGAAGAAAATGTTGATGACAAAGCTAAGGGAACAAAGAGTGCTATTGACACAAATAGGACTAGGCTCTTCATTGCTATTTGATGTGTGGTGCAACACAACCTCTATTAACCTCCAATTTATAGATCCATCATATGCTATATATGCCTTTCAATTTATGTGGTTGTCTTTCATTTAATATAAAAATTTTCAATAAATAATACGTACTCTAAAACATTTCTAGAACCACCGAGACATGCATGCATGTTTATTACAATGAACTATACAACATTTTACTACTACTACTTCAACTACTATTATTACTATTATTACTACTGCGTGCCGTCTTCCTATTGAATAAAATTAAATTCTTAGCTCATCAAATTTAATTTTCGAATTCAAAGAAAAGGATTATTAGTTACGTTTTTTCAGAAAAATAAAAATTTCTTATGACGATCATAAAATTTATCCAAATTTCTACCGCCACCCAAACATTATCTTTCAACCTAGAGAAAAACATTCACTACATTCATTCCATCTAGAAAATTTCACTTTCATTTCGGTGATGCAAGTTGTTGGATCAGTCATGACCAACAAATATATTGAAGGATATCTTGATGCAATATATTATGGAGGAAATAACTATGCATAATTGTTTGCTATTTTTCATTCTCTTTAGACTTTTCATTAAGTTATATTTTTATTTCATATATCAACTTCAGATTTTATGATAAATATTCTGAGAGAATGGATGGTTGGGGCGGGAGGCAAAAGTTGATAGTTTGGACATTTTATCCAATAGTAAGATGTCATGTAATAAATATTATTATTAATAATAATAATAATAATAATAATAATAATAATAATAATAATAATAATAATAATAATAATAATAATAATAATAATAATAATAATAATAATAATAATAATAATAATAATAATAATAATAATAATAATAATAATAATAATAATAATAATAATAATAATAATAATAATAATAATAATAATAATAATAATAATAATAATAATAACAGTTAGCTTACGGAATCTTTATATATATATATATAGGAGAATCTTAGGTCCGGCTCCGTGCACCCTTAGAATTTAGGAATTTACTTTTATGTTTTCCTTCGTACTTTAGGTTTTTTACCCCTATATTATTTTTACCCTTAAACCTGCTGATTCAACTATTGTGTCCCTTCAGACCGTTGTATCCTTCGATCGCATCTCTTCATGAAGTACCTATAAAAACTAGGCAAATCATATCCGTTATTGTGTCTTCTTCTTCATGACAAATTTCATCCCTAATTTCTGTGTAACATCACCAATTCCTTGAAAGTCTATTTTGTATTTGTGGTATATTACACCAATAAGGGGTATAACAAAAAAATTCCCCTAAAACAAATTCAAAGGAACTAAAAGACACTGGAACAAATAAATGTTGATAGATGATAAAGAAGTTGTGGATAGAAAAATGAGCACATGTAAAATGCACTTCAATAATGTGAGGTAGGCAAAAATACAACCAATAGCTTAAAACTATTTGAAATATTTCTGTAAAAAAATCTTTAATTAGAATTTTGTTTCAACGCTTTTTTTGGGCAAAAAACTTAAGTATACAACTTAATAACTTTAATTACACGAATATAGCAATACTTTTTTTTTTTCCAATTGAATAGCAATATTTTTTTTCAAAACTGAAATTCTTATTAAAATAAAAAATAAAAAAATGTTTACCAAGTCAGTCACAATTATCCATATTCCTTAAATTTCTCCAATTATTTTACCTTCCCTGATTTACTCCAATTTGTTATATATCATATCCCATAAAGAAAGGAAACCTACAAAAATTAAACTTATGTTCCAAACTAAGATCGACGATCAAATATGCAGACCAATAATTTTTCAATTCTAATTCATCACAGCGGGCGTTGGGACTCATCAGGTAATCTTTTTGGTAGTAATTCCTTTG